AACGACTAATTTAGTCGACTAAAACGACTAATTTAGTCGACTAAAACGACTAATTTAGTCGACTAAAAGAACTAATTAAGTCGACTAAAAGAACTAATATAGTCGACTAAATTAAGTCATTAAACATAACATAATCGTTATTTTTGATAAATTTTTTATGTAAAAATATATGTTGTAAAGATGTAAAAATAAAATTTCAGTGAAGATGTACCATCATAGAAAAATATTAATTGTTATTTTTGAAAAGTAAATAGATAAAAATATATTTATTGTAAAAGTGTTAAAAAAAATTTCAGTGAAGATGTACCATAGAAGAGTGACAATTGTCATAATCGTTATTTTTGAACTTTTTTGAATTTTTTTAAAGTAAATAGGTAAAAATATATATTGTAAAGATGTTAAAATAAAATTTCAGTGAAGATTTACCATAGAAAAGTGACAATTGTCATAATCATTATTTGTGAACTTTTTTGAATTTTTTCAAAGCAAATAGGTAAAAATATATATTGTAAAGATGTTAAAATAAAATTTCAGTGAAGATGTACCATAGAAAAGAGACAATTGTCATAATCGTTATTTTTGAACTTTTTTGAATTTTTTCAAAGCAAATAGGTAAAAATATATATTGTAAAGATGTTGAAATAAAATTTCAGTGAAGATGTACCATAGAAAAGTGACAATTGTCATAATCGTTATTTTTGAACTTTTTGATTTTTCAAGCAAATGGTAAAAATATATTGTAAAGATGTTGAAATATATTCAGTGAAGATGTCATAGAAAAGTGACAATTGTCATAATCGTTATTTGTGAATTTTTTAAAACAAAATTATAAAAATATATATTGTAAAGATGTTAAAATAAAATTTCAGTGAAGATGTACCATAGAAAGGTGACAATAGTCATAATCGTTATTTTTGAACTTTTTTGAATTTTTTTAAAGTAAATAGGTAAAAATATATATTGTAAAGATGTTAAAATAAAATTTCAGTGAAGATGTACCATAGAAAGGTGACAATTGTCATAATCGTTATTTTTGAACTTTTTTGAATTTTTTAAAGTAAATAGGTAAAAATATATATTGTAAAGATGTTAAAATAAAATTTCAGTGAAGATGTACCAGAGAAAAGTGATAATCGTCATAATCATTATTTTTTAATTTTTTTAAATTTTTTCAAAGCAAATAGGTAAAAATATATATTGTAAAGATGTTAAAATAAAATTTCAGTGAAGATGTACCATAGAAAAGTGACAATTGTCATAATCGTTATTTTTGAACTTTTTTGAATTTTTTCAAAGCAAATAGGTAAAAATATATATTGTAAAGATGTTGAAATAAAATTTCAGTGAAGATGTACCATAGAAAAGTGACAATTGTCATAATCGTTATTTTTGAACTTTTTTGATTTTTTTCAAAGCAAATAGGTAAAAATATATATTGTAAAGATGTTGAAATATAATTTCAGTGAAGATGTACCATAGAAAAGTGACAATTGTCATAATCGTTATTTGTGAACTTTTTTGAAATTTTTTAAAACAAATAGGTAAAAATATATATTGTAAAGATGTTAAAATAAAATTTCAGTGAAGATGTACCATAGAAAGGTGACAATTGTCATAATCGTTATTTTTGAACTTTTTTGAATTTTTTTAAAGTAAATAGGTAAAAATATATATTGTAAAGATGTTAAAATAAAATTTCAGTGAAGATGTACCAGAGAAAAGTGATAATCGTCATAATCATTATTTTTTAACTTTTTTATATTTTTTCAAAGCAAATAGGTAAAAATATATATTGTAAAGATGTTAAAATAAAATTTCAGTGAAGATGTACCATAGAAAAGAGACAATTGTCATAATCGTTATTTTTGAACTTTTTTGAATTTTTTCAAAGCAAATAGGTAAAAATATATATTGTAAAGATGTTAAAATAAAATTTCAGTGAAGATGTACCATAGAAAGGTGACAATTGTCATAATCGTTATTTTTGAACTTTTTTGAATTTTTTTAAAGTAAATAGGTAAAAATATATATTGTAAAGATGCTAAAATAAAATTTTAGTGAAGATGTACCATAATACCAATTTAGATAAATGATAAAAATATTTTATTCAAAAATAGCGCACGGGTCGGGCTTCAGTCGACTCATGACTAATTAACCGGTTTGAATATGAGTCGTTTTGCCGGCCTCGGTCAACTATCTAGCAACAAAAGACATTGTGTTGTTAAAAAGACAGTTCAACCCGACTCAGAGTCTCTAGACGTTATTCGAATTAGTTGATTAACTCAAGTCGACTCTTTTATAGTCAAAACAATTGGTCCCTTTATTTTAAACTCTTATCTATATAGGAGAGACTGGGGTTATTCGAACCAATTTTTACAAAATTGGCAGCTCCTATGATTAGATACCTAAATCTATATTCTATAAAGGTGCACTTATCAAAAATCTTAAGATTATAATTATTTTTTTAAATTTTAATTATTTGTAAAAGTGATAATTTTGTTCAACAAGTCCCGATAGCAGGGTGAGGCAAACCACTTCAAGAGGCTTCTTAAACCATTGGTTTTTTAGGCCATAAAATATTGAAATGCATTTTTATTTATTAATAATGATATGTATTGAATAATTTTATTGTTCAAAATATGATATTACTTATAAATTGAAGCTAATAAATAATATATAAAAATTGAAACTTAATTTTTGCTAATTTAATAAACATTTTGGACATAAAAAATATATGAATTAGAGATTAAGATTTCTAAGTATTCCCAAACCAATCATACCCGGTCCCCATTCCCTAAAGTTCTTAAATCAATTGGGTAGAAGAATTGCATTAAGGACAGGGGTCAAAAACGAGTCCTTATCTCTTAAACAAAAAATCCAATTCGAAATTCTAAAAATGTTTCTTCGAAACCTCCCTTTTCCCTCCTAGTTCAGCACCTATAATTTGCAAAATATTTTTTTTAGCGGTTTAAATCAGAGTTGTGCATTTGACCGGTCAAATAAGTTTCTGTCAATTGACCGATATTTGACCGGTAAAATATGGTCAAATTCAAATATATGTTTTTTTAAGTTAATATCTATATTATTAATTTTTTAAATTTCATTGTCATTAAATAACTAACATTTAGCTATCCGTAACAGATTCTTGTTCTGATTCATATTCAATATTATTATTTTCTTTAATATTTTTTAATCAATTTTCCTGATGTCTTAGATCTTCAATCGATTTCTATTTTTATAAGAATATTAACCCAAATTGACCTATTTCCTTCAAAATAAGAAGTAGAACTAGGAATTATTAATTTCTTAATGTGGTGGGCAAAGTTTAATCTATTAACTTGAGGTCGAAATTAATTGTTTTTGTAAATTACTACTTTCCTAATTCGCTTAATTAAACATGCTGTTTTTGCTTTTGAAATTAATTATATCACTTAAAATATTTTGGTCATCACTATCTTGTAAAATAGCTAATTCTAGAATTATATCACATACTTCATTAAATTCACTACTAGTGAGATTCCCCTCTTGATAGATCAATTTGACCGTATTTGACCAGGCCAAATACTCCTTTGGTCAAGTGACTGATCAATTGACCGACTTGCCAACCCTGGTTTAAATATTGATATAAATATCATAAATTGTTTCTCGTGAAATATAGATATAGTATATAATATTTTTTTTTCTTTCGTTAATCATTATTTTTTTTGATTTTTTTGAAAGTAAATGGTAAATTTTTTCTTAAATTAAAATAAAAATACCTCCTCCCCCCCCCCCCCCACGTTTTGGTAAGAAATATAATTTTAAAAAAAACAATGAATTTTACTTAAATTAAAATAAAAATACCCCCTCTCCTCCCCCCCCCCCCCCCCCAGTTTTGGTAAAAAATATAATTTAAAAAAAAACAAAACAATGAATTTTATATGCCAAAAAATAAAATTATTCCCCTCATTCCCTTTAGGTGCCAGCTAGGCGTTAACAAATTATAAGAATAAAAATAGATTAAGTTATTTATTTTTAAATTTTATAGAGTCTTATAAAAATAATTAAAAGGGTAATATTTCGTTAACAGATATTGATGATGGTGAGGATAATTTTAATTATTGATAATATAGATATAGATTCGCCCACAAATGCACTCCACATAGAACTTGATAATATTCATGAAGGTGCTAATATTCATACAGATGGCAGGTAAAATTAGTAAAAGAAAAATAGGGAGACCTTTAAATGGAACTCCTAAATTACAAAAAGGTTCTAGGTTATTTCAGGTAATATCATAAGTTAGATGATAATATAGGGCATTGGCCAGAAGCGTCCAAAACTCGAAAAAGGTGTAAACTATGTGTTAGCGTATATTCAAGGACTAAGTGTGAAAAATGTGAAATTTATTTATACTCTAACCAGAATAGAAATTGTTTCAAAACTTTTCATAATAAATACATATATATTTTTTTATACATGCAATTCGCTCAATGATGTCAAATTGTATCGTGATTTTTTTTTTACCTGTAAACTATGAAAAAAAAGTAGAAATCAAATTGTTTTTTAGTTTTATTTTAAAAAGTCGAGCTTTAAAGGGTTAATTTAGAAATTAAATTTTTGATTAAATTATATTTGGTTGAATACAATTTTTAAAAAATGGAATTTTTAAGTTTTTTTTTCAAAACTAAATTGATAGTAAGTATAAAGATACTGTAAGCACTGGATTACGTAGTAATTAACAAATATAAATTAAATGGTAAATTTTTTTAAAAAAATATTTTTTCAAAGGGAAAAGGCTAACATTTTAAATGTAGTTTTAATTATTTTTATATCATTGAACTAAGAATTAAATTCTCTATCCAAAAATGCTTAGATTTTTTGGATTGTGATTTTAATTCTGAGATCATTGATATAAAAATACTTAAAATTTCCTTGGATGATACTGTGTATTTTTTAAATGTTTTACGTTTTTGTTTTTACACCATTTAATAAATTCATTTGAAATAAATTGTGGACCATGGTTATACTCATTTTTCTAATCTATTTATTCAATTCTTACTTGAATCTTTAATTCTATCGATCTCGATCCATTATAAGTATGCATCAATTCCTACCAGAGTCATTTTGGGTCGATTTTTCGCCCAAAAATTAACTCAATAAGTACATTAACAACATTAACTATACACAATATTTTATAGAATCAAAAGGCCGATAGTTTTCACATTGCAGTAGAAAATAGTTATGAAATCATAAACAATGAAGGAATCAATATTCGTGGGTTTGACACAGATTCAGATGTAATATATTTCGATAGTATAAAATTTTAACAATTTTAAAATTATATAATATAATATATCCTTTTTTTTATAATAACAATAAATCACAAATATAAAATATATTTTTTATGTATAAATAATATATAGATAGAGCCCTTGACTAGCCAAGATGCTATTATATGTGACTTATCACAGATTTCAGATATATCTACATCTAGTAAGTTAAATATTTCCAATGTATTCAAGATGACTCCGACAAAATCTCGCCGAAAGTGTATATACTGCAATACACATTATAGTTTAAATACAGCCTCAAGTATGTATTATTAAAATTTAATATACGATTATAATATATTTTTAGCAAATTTAAAAAGGCACATTTCTAAATCACATTCGCATTTAAAAATGGAAAACAAAAACAAAAAAAGACATTCATTAGTGGGGATAAGAAATTTAGTATCTCACGAAAATACACAATTGAATAAATTAATTATGAGATATATTATAAAATGTAACATCTCATTTAATAAAATAGAATCTCCATATTTCAGAGATATTTTCTCTTTTATATTTAAAAATAAGAGAATATGGTGCAGGCAGACGGCTGCCTGCTATGTTAAAGATTTATATAAAAAATCTAAAAATAAAATTATTAAAGACCTTAAACAGGTCAATAGTAAAATCTGCCTTACAACGGACATATGGACCGGAATAAACTCAATATCTTATTGTTCTATAACAATACATTATATTGACAAAAATTGGAAATTTGTCAATTTCCTACTTGATCTAATAGATTTACCTCATCCACATACGGGTGAGATAATCTTTTATCCTCTCTCCAATCTTTTGGCATACAAGAAAAAGTAATGTCCATTACTATCGATAATGCAAAAATTTCCTCTGCTCTGTGTCTATTATGACAAAATTTATATAGATAAATACGGTTATTCTCTATATAGCATTAGATGCCTGGCTCATATATTAAATATAATAGTGAGCTCAGGAATGAATATCATGAATGAAAAATTGGAAAAAATAAATTAATTCGTTAAAAAGTTGCATAATTCCCCCAAATTTTTGAAGGAAGATATGGAATTATCAGGTGGGACTCGTATACCACTTGATGTCGTCACAAGATGGAATTCCAAATTCTTAATGATTTCCATAATTAACAAAGTAATAACAAAAACCATTTTTAAATTTAATTTTATATTTAAAGAATATTGATGTGGTAAATGATTTAGGCAAGAAAGGCAGCCTTCCTGATAATCAAATTATTATAAATAATGAAGAGGCCAAATTTTTAAAAGATATTGAAATATTTTTGAAACCATTCTTCAATATTACCCAAGAAATATCCTCAGATACAAATTCTACAATTGGTTCGGCAGTTTTATTTATAGATGAAATTGTCAAAACACTAGAAGATGTTAGTGAAAATCATGAAAACGTAACAATAAAAAATGCTGCTAGTGTTATGTTAAAAAAATCAAAGATAAATATGAAACACATAAATACTCTTTCAAATTATATATCGTGTTTGTTAGACCCAAAGACAAAGAAAAAATTTTTGCCTAAATTTATAAATAATCCTGATTATTTTAAAAATTTCGAAACGTTATATATTAAATATAAAAGTACAATGTCAGGATCGTCAGCGTACGATTACAATGAGCCCGATATGGAAGCCATGCCTTATTCTGTGCGTATACATAATAAACTAAGAAGGTAAATATGATTACATAGTTATATATATATTGTCTTTATTATTTAGGGCTAATTATGAAATTCCACAACATGCCACAGATGAAATAGATACATATTTAAAAGAGGAAGTAGCTAGTCCGACAACCAATGTACTCGATTGGTGGCAAAAAAACAGCTCAATATATCCAACTTTGTCTTTAATGGCCAGAGACTTTTCGGCTCAGCAAACTACGAGTGTTGCCAGGGAAAGAATCTTTAGCAAAGCGGTGGAATGCATGACTAAAAAACGTAGCCGCCTTTCATCCATCACTTTGAAGCAATGTTTATCTATTGATTGCTGGGACATAGAACTTTTATAATGATATTATATTAACATTTTTTAAATATATATTTCCGCGTATTTTAATGAAAATATTTTTATATTATGTGTACGTTTATTTATTAATAAATTGAATTAAATTAAATGCGTCTTCCTTTGAATTTTTTTTTATCATAAAGAATGCAGAAATTTTTAGTTATTGAAGCGATATTTAATCATGGGTAAAAAAATGTGAAATAAAATTTTAAATAATTTTTATAGACTTTTCGTCTTGCCCTGCCCATATAAAAAAAACTAAACCACGCTCGCCCCCCCCCCATATAAATATAAATATGCCCATTCTTCAAATTTTTTAAGCATCTAATAAAAAATAAATTATAGTTTCACCCTTACTAAAAATTTCATAATTTAGTTACTAAAAATTTCATGATTTAGTAAGCATAAAAAATATTCGATTTAAATGATGATATTGCCAATTGTGTAAGTTTTTCCAAGGAAATACCTTTACTATTTTTTTCATCAAAATGTAGGAAGTAAATATTACACATCCAAAATAAGTTCTCTTTTCGCCGAAAAAAACAGTTCTGATGTTTATAATTTTATCAATTATAGGACGAAATAATTGTAATCAATCCTACAAGTATTTTTATTAACTCATTAATTTTTCCGAGATAACATCCGAAACAGTTATCGATAATCTGGTATTTAAAATTTTTTTTATAAGAATATATTTTTTAATGTTTATCTAATGAATTTTAAATGAAAAATAAAAGTTAAAAATTTGTTAGCCTTCCTATTGTTAAAATTTTTCAAAGATCCGTTAGCACTTTTAAAAATTTGAAAATATTTTAAATAACGATTATGACAATTATCATTCTTATATGGTACATATTCATTTAAGTTTTATTTTAACATCATTACAATATATATTCTTACCTATTTACTATAAAAAAATTCAAAAAAGTTCAAAAATAACGATTATAACAATTGTCACCTTTCTATGGTAGATCTTCACTGAAATTTTATTTTAACATCTTTACAATATATATTTTTACCTATTTGTTTTAAAAAAATTCAAAAAAGTTCACAAATAACGATTATGACAATTGTCACCTTTCTATGGTACATCTTCACTGAAATTTTATTTTAACATCTTTACAATATATATTTTTACCTATTTGTTTTAAAAAAATTCAAAAAAGTTCACAAATAACGATTATGACAATTGTCACCTTTCTATGGTACATCTTCACTGAAATTTTATTTTAACATCTTTACAATATATATTTTTACCTATTTACTTTAAAAAAATTCAAAAAAGTTCAAAAATAACGATTATAACAATTGTCACCTTTCTATGGTACATCTTCACTGAAATTTTATTTTAACATCTTTACAATATATATTTTTACCTATTTGTTTTAAAAAAATTCAAAAAAGTTCACAAAGATTATGACAATTGTCACTTTTCTATGGTACATCTTCACTGAAATATTATTTTAACATCTTTACAATATATATTTTTACCCATTTACTTTAAAAAAACTCAAAAAAGTTCAAAAATAACGATTATGACAATTGTCACCTTTCTATGGTACATCTTCACTGAAATTTTATTTTAACATCTTTACAATATATATTTTTACCTATTTGTTTTAAAAAAATTCAAAAAAGTTCACAAATAACGATTATGACAATTGTCACCTATCTATGGTACATCTTCACTGAAATTTTATTTTAACATCTTTACAATATATATTTTTACCTATTTACTTTAAAAATTCAAAAAGTTCACAAATAACGATTATGACAATTGTCACTTTTCTATGGTACATCTTCACTGAAATTTCATTTTAACATCTTTACAATTTATATTTTTACCTATTTACTTTAAAAAATTCAAAAAAGTTCAAAAATAACGATTATGACAATTGTCACCTTTCTATGGTACATCTTCACTGAAATTTTATTTTAACATCTTTACAATATATATTTTTACCTATTTACTTTAAAAAGTTCAAAAATAACGATTATAACAATTGTCATCTTTCTATGGTACATCTTCACTGAAATTTTATTTTAACATCTTTACAATATATATTTTTACCTATTTGTTTTAAAAAAATTCAAAAAAGTTCACAAATAACGATTATGACAATTGTCACCTATCTATGGTACATCTTCACTGAAATTTTATTTTAACATCTTTACAATATATATTTTTACCTATTTACTTTAAAAAAATTCAAAAAAGTTCACAAATAACGATTATGACAATTGTCACCTATCTATGGTACATCTTCACTGAAATTTTATTTTAACATCTTTACAATTACAATATATATTTTTACCTATTTGCTTTGAAAAAATTCAAAAAAGTTCAAAAATAACGATTATGACAATTATCACTTTTGTATGGTACATCTTCACTGAAATGTTAACTTAATATGTTTACGATATATATTTTTACCTTTAACCTATATATGCTGCTAACTAAAAAAATCAACTTAGTCGACTAAATTAGTCGTTTTAGTCGACTATATTAGTCGTTTTAGTCGACTAAATTAGTCGTTGTAGTCGACTATGTTAGTCGTTTTAGTCGACTATGTTAGTCGTTTTAGTCGACTATGTTAGTCGTTTTAGTCGACTAAATTAGTCGTTTTAGTCGACTATGTTAGTCGTTTTAGTCGACTATGTTAGTCGTTTTAGTCGACTATATTAGTCGTTTTAGTCGACTATATTAGTCGTTTTAGTCGATTTCCATGACTACGACTATTAGTCGTAGTCGAAAGAACTCGACTAATATAGTCATAAAATATTTTTACAAATTTTAATAAAAAAAATAAGCCTGTAACAAATATGAAATATATTTTTATTAGTTTATATAAAATAAAAATATAATAAATTACTTGTATTGTATATACCTTAAAATAAAAGCATGGTAATAATTGATTCCAAACAATTATAAGAAATTTATTCATAAAAAGTAAGTAGACATATAGTTGATTTTACTCTATTATATAGAATTAGTTATAAAATATTAGGTATAGTCTATATGTATTAGTATATATACATATAGACTAAAGTAACCCGGCCGAAGGCCCGCCCAAAAGGGGGTCTGGGGGCGAGGCCCCCAGTAATTTTTTAATTTTTCTCCCCTTATGAAAATCCTGGCTACGCTTATGTCTTGGTGGTATTATTTTAGGTTGGGCGTCACATCATAAATGTAATTTAACATTTACTTTATTAATTGGTTCACTGGTCAATTTGGATTCACAATCTTTAATTAGTTTATTAATTTCGTCTTCATAATTGGTGTCGATATTTCCAATGAATTTAGTTAAAATATTTTTAAAGGCATTGATCCAGATTCTTCTTAACAACGCTTTCTTTCTTGACTCTACAACTACTGCTAGTAAATATTTAGTGATTCTTTCATAACTTACTTTGACTTGAGTTGTACCGATGATCTTAATCAAATTTCCATGGTAGGCTGTAAGTCGCAATCTGGATTTCTTCATTTGTTTTATGCCAATTTTTTTGGCCATCTCATGAGGTATAATGGTAAACTTTGATCCAGTATCTTGCACAGTTGTAGTAACATCATTTAATTTCAAAGTGATCATAAAATCAATGTTATCACCTTTGTCTGTTTTTCAACCAGGTTGTTGATATTGAAATCGTTCTCATGATTGTCATTGGTAGTGTCGACTTTATTTTCCCCAACTTCTTCAATGTTCATATTACAATTATTGTTATCGTAGCAATTTTGATTATCATACTGGATTTGTTTTCTTTGATTAATCCTTCCACCGAATACGATCTTCATATTAGATTTGTTTTCTTTGGTTATCATTATTATGCCACCTGTTGTTTCCTTCATAATTATTTGAATTGTTATTATAATATAGGTAATTATTATGATTTTGATCGTGACATTGAATCTGTCTCCTCTGATTATAATTAAACCAGGCGTTGTTCCTACCGTAGTTATTATTATAAGATTGATAATTATAATTATGAAAGTTTCTAAAGTTGCTATTGTTATACCGATAATTGTAATTTTGATAGTTGCCATGCCATCATTATACTGATTATTTCTATAGTTATTGCTATTATAATTATTATTGTTTCATTACTAAAATTCCTATTCCTGTTTTCATTAACATTACTAAAATTGTTATTACCATAATTCCTATTCCTAATGTCAAAATTTTGTCTTGTATTATAATTAGGTCTATTATAGTTACTAATATTCTCATTCCTATTAGAAGTATTTTGGTTATCTAAATTCTTATCATTATTTCTATTAAATTTTATATCCCTACTAAAAACATAATTAACATTGCCACTTTCTGATTTAATGTTAATACTATCTAGTTTTTATCCTATTTCAATCATTTCGTCTAATGTATAGTTAATATATATTTAATTTATTTTTTATATTGTCATTTAAACTAGATGTTTATTTTTCTTTCATGCGATTATCATTAATAAAATACAGTCTACTCAACTTAGAAAGTCTAAAAAATCAATCCATGAAAGATTTCTTAACGCCTTGTGTTGCAAGGTTAAATTTGTTAGTTAAGATCCAAATATCTCGACAGGTATAAGGTATTTTAATTTTTTAACGACAACTATATAATCTTTGATATCTACCTTAGTGCATAATGACTTGATTTTATCGTATAAGTCATCATATAAATTGCTCATCAATGTTTCAATTTTTACTGAGTCGGATAAAATTGTTTGAGAAAAATAATCATCAAGTCTCTCCAAGTAAGTGTCAGTCAAACACCCCTCCAGTTTTGGGAACTTAACCTCCCTGGTAGATGATACATTAATTTTTAGTCCATATTTAAAATTTGCAAATTTTTATTTTAAAGTTTTATTTAAATTAGCATAAAGATAAACATTGACATTATAAAGTCATATGATTATGTATTCCATTTATTTTTTTTACTTTGTGTGTGTCCTTTTATATCGAATAGTTTTTATGATTTATTACATAATTCCAAAAATTTTTATTTTTTATAATTATCGGCATAGGCACAATATATATGAGGTTTTTTT